ACCATTTTAGGGAATAAAAACTGAAGAATATCAGCTTACTAAACATCAGTGAGTGTGTGTTAAAAAGCCTGGGGGGACTGGGGGTGGGGGAGGTGAGTGTGACTGTAAAAGGGCAGGATGCTTGTCATACATTTTAAAATTCCACAACTGCTATTTGACACCTCTAAGGGTGTCAGAAATCTAATAGTACTATAAGAGAAAAAGTCGCTACCTCTTAGGGTATTTGTCTGGAAATAAGATACCTGAGATTTGATAATGACAGCCAGAAATCACTATCTTTTTTTGGGACCCTTCCCCTCCTCCATAGTGGTTGCTACTCTCTCATTGTGTGATTCCTCTTTTAATGCTTGACAATGTATAGCTGATCCTGGGGTTGGATTGTGTTACAGTCAACAATGTCTGGACATTGTTCTCAGAAAAAGCTTATATCAAGCTTATATCTTAGCTTTATATCAAGTTTTAAAAAATGATATTTTGCTCGTATTTAGGGAGCTAACTAAACAAACCAAGTAAATAATTTGTTTAAAAGTCAGTACATTTGTGTCAAATCCAAAACAACGTCTGAACAATTGAACAAGATCCAGCACCAAAGTGGTTTAAAATTGCAAAAATAAGTACTTGGATCGTGTTTACGGTCACCAAAAACTTTTTGGTGACAGTAACACAATCTAAAACAATTTATACCCAGTGACGGCTAGCGCCAAAAAGGTGATAGTTAGAGTACGAACACAAAAAGTGTGCAACACTTTGCACTATTTAGTAGTAAATAGTGCTAATTAAACAATAGAAAACAATAGGATTAGCATAATTTAGCAGTATTTAGTGGTATTTATGTTGCACACTTATAGTGTTTGTATTCTACCCCTGGAGATTTTTGGTTCTAAACGGGGGGGATTGCTCATATTGGATGGAATAGCCCAATGGTTCTACAGTACCATCCCAATCATCCCAATGAGTGTATAGCTAAAACGTTTTTTGAAATGGAAGAGTTTCCAGTAATTTTATCCTGTGTTTCACGCAATGCATCTATGGATTGCCAGGGGGCAAACAAAGCAAGTCATCACAAGAGATGTATGGGGACGATTCATATTTTCCACTAAAATCCGTGATTTGGTGGTGAATATTGTACTTTATCTCTCTAATTTTATTGGATATGAAGTCGAGGAATGTGTATTCATCAAATACATGTTGTTTGAATAGTGTGATATTACAGTCTGAAAACTTGATTTTCTTGCGTAAGCTAGATTGTGAAAGTACATAGCGACACCTCGACTAATTGTCTCCAGATAGCAAGGTTTTTGTGCAGATATTAACGGAATTACTCTATGAAAGTATTTTTTTATTGATACATCAGTTTGTTTTGAGTGTTTCTCATACAAGTATAAGTATTGATGCATAACGTTACTATCGCGGGGAGATGAAAGTTGTTTTTATTGTGCTGTTGCTTTGTGGCTGGACGAAATTATAAATTATAAAAGACTTAGGGAAATAAAGATATTATGTAGCAGTTTAATTCAAGTATATCCAAACGTTTTTGAACCGTTACTCTTTACCTAGAATAAAATGTTGGAGAATATACGAGAAAAACTAACAAGCAAGTTAGGAAGTGAGTTAGGAAGCAAGTTTGGAACCGAGTTTGGAACCGAGTTTGGAACCGAGTTTGGAACCGAGTTTGGAACCGAGTTTGGAACCGAGTTTGGAACCTAATTCGCTTCCTAACTGGAAAGATAGGCATCCTCAGTGTATGCGGCTTTCCAGCTGTCCAAGTTTCGATAGCCCTGTTCGAAGTGATGATTTGAGCACACTTTAGTGCACTCCTTCTGACTTTCACTGAGTTCTTCCTATTGGTCCCTCTGGCCCGCGACAAGACATACTGTTGGTTTCTAGGAGAATAAAACCTTAAAATTCCCTCGTGGGGAAGAACGATTTTGTCTACCTGGATACCTTCGATCGTTTTCGCTATCCCAAACAGCACAGTGATAGCCACCAGGCATTATTCTTAATATTATTGAACACTTGCACATACTAATGTATCAATAATAATATCTTATTGAGTAATTCCGTTAATATCTGCAAAAAAATCTTGCTATTTTGAGTCAATTATTTATAAAGATATAACTAGCTAAAAACTAGTGTGAGCTGCGTCGGTGTTTCTAATGAAACAGTAATGATGAAAAGGTAAATTATACACCGTGAAA